CAGAAAGAGGCTGAAAAACACGTGTGGAAAGGCCTGACACACTGCTGGTGTCATCCACTGGGCCCATGTGTTTTCTATAAGGTACAACAGGCCTTTGGTTTGGACGTGTTCACTTTCTTGACTGTTGACAGTCCAACATACACAACCAATCAGATCCAACAAGCGGCTGTAATCTCCACACAGACAGCTATGTAATGGATGATGCGCTGCGCATTGTGATCTTCATGTATGTATCATGCGCACGCATAATAAAGTGCACATGTTTAATAAGAGGTACTGGAACACTGATATATACACGTCCGCACATCTGTCCTTTCAGTCTGTTGAGCCTGTAACCAAAACCTTGATTATAACTTGTGTTGAAGTTTCACAACTACAGTCATCATTTCTTCTCAGTCGACTACACTGCGCTGTAGCCTGTGATGGGTTTTGTCAGTGGAACATTTTCTTAACAGTTCTTAGTTTCAACGTTACGATCATCTGACTGCTTGTCAGCTGTGTTAGTTTCCAGCACCGTGTCGCTTTTATCGACAATAACACGTATGAACAATACTCGACTTCAAATGAGCTACAACAAACCCTCGACGCTTGCTGCCTGACGATTGACCAATATGCTGACCCTTGGCCTAAATCCTAAATCTAACATTTTAGCCATCAACTCTTGATTTTGAGCACAAAGGCCTAAAAAGAGAAAAACAAACAAAAGAAACAAAATACTGTAAGATGCAAAATCACTTTAAGCTAGCAACGAGCCAGACAGCAGAACGTGCACATAAATATGCAGCTAACATAATAAACTGGACTGATATTTGTCAGGTGTCTAGAAACCTGATGACTGATAATGTTCTGGTATCAGCTGACAACAGGTAAGAACCTTGTTTTCACATAAGGAGCTTCATAAAAGGCTTTAAAAAAGGCTTTTACAGTGAACTCACCTGATCTTTGATTCTTATTTTATTTAAACTGAATGTAAACAGCGAGGTAAGTGAATCGTCTACACATGAAACACACCGTCACAGGTGAAAATGGTACAAACAAATGAAATGTGCTGCATTCTGAACTTTTGTTCCCCAAGTAAAGTTTAAGTATGCGACACTATGTTGTCCATGTCGGTATTACGCTGTGTGTAAAGCGGATCGCTTTATGGCTCCGGGGCCGAATCCATTTTAAATCCACACCCTTCTCTCCCCCTTCCCTCTGTCTGTCCATCACTCCCCCCCACGCCTTCTCCCTTCGCCTCTCATTCTTTCATTCAGTTCTTTTCAGCCCTCCTTATTTCTTCTCCTCTCGCTCCTTCACTCCATCCCTGCCCGGGGTTAACCACAGCGGGGAGAGCGCATGAGGTCAGCGCTCAGCTTCGGCAGCGGCCATGTGGTTCCCATCTTCCAATAACGTCAGTGTGATTTATGAGCGGCCCGCCACAAACCCAGCACAGCCCCCACGCTACAGCACCATCAGCTCGCCTTACCATAATAAACTTAGATCCAACTCTGCTGGGACGCACTTGCACAGGCACAGAGGCATTCCACATATGGGCTAATGCACATACATGTGCATGCATGGCTGTATAGGTGTGACTGCGTGCAGGCACAGGTATGTTTTTTAATAAATGCACATGTAGAGTGAGATTAATGGAACGTGCACTTGTAAACCTACCGTTTGGTGGGGGCTTCACATCTGTGTCTCCTTGCTGGTTTGAGTTGTCTGATTGTCCTGATTGTTCTGCAGAGAGAGAGAAAAAGAAAGAAAGATGGTGAGTCAGGTGGACAGATGTCTGGACACTGACCAAGGTGAGGGGGCAGGTAAAGAACAGAGGAGTCTCCTGAGAAACTATATGGTAAACTCTTTTCACTGACAACGGACAGACGTGTTGAGATGAAAAGGGCAGATATTTGCACTCGGTCGAGGCTCAGAGTACCGTTAGTAGATTCTTATCTGGTCATTATCGTACTCACAGCCTTAGTGTATGTTTGGTAAAGTGCTACAAATCCCCCGAAACATTTTTAATGCCAACAATTAACTCAGCGTACATGCAATTTCTGGGTATTGATGCACCGTCTTTGCCATTTTTTGGAAGACCTTCTAAAATATAGAATCTGAATACAGCGTAAACTGGCTCGAGTGGTCCTAAGAAACAAACCTCTGCTTCTGAGTCGCGGTTTTGAACGTGTGCGTTCCTGTATTCTGGGTACTGCTGTGTATAACTCAACTGTTTTTGTATCTTTGTTTCTTGCAATTACTCAAACTCACCATTCATGTTGGGCAGAGTGCTAATGGTCCCAAGAACTTTTAGAAATGCATCATTTGGAGTTGAATCACCTTAAAAAATCTTTTCTCTCTTTGTGTACCTAACTTTCCGGCGCTTGAATGTTTGCATGTGCACACAGCTACAAACACTAGGTAAAATCCGTTCACCGTAAAAGTTAGGTAAAGTGACAGATGTGTCACCTCAACAGCCCACGCTGACTAGTCAAATGTGCACTTTGTCTGGATTGCATCTCCTGCATTGCTTCCATCTTTAGGGACACGAAGGCGCTCAGAGAGTCGTCTGCTTCAGCTGCTTTTCTTTGGCTCGCTGGCTGCCATTCTTCTTCAGATGTGTAATGCACCCTTGTGGAGTTTTATGGTTGTATCATATATACCATTCAGGCCAATTACTCCAAAGCACTTAGCCTTTAAGGGTGTCTTGGGCCAAGACTCCCAATCCAAAACGTGGCCCCCTTGCAGCCACTACTAGGCCCCCCAATCTCAACATCTTCTAAACCCAAATCAGTGTCCTAATCTTGGGTGGCAGTGTTGCGTTACGTGCCAGCAAACTGGTGCACTATTCACCCTGTCGGTCGCGTGCCAAAAGCAGGAAAACAAAAAGAAACCCAAAGCACCTCATCGCTCTGGGAAGAGGGAAACACGAGGAAGAGCTTCTTTTCTTTCTTTCTCGCAACACTCGTCCTTCATTCTGCACAAGAGTCCATCTTCAGGTCTTTCTCCCTCAGTTCCTCTCACATTGGTTTTGTCTCTTTCTCTCTTGCGCGCTGTCGCTCTGTGGAATCCTGGCAGCCATCTTAGCGCTTGGCAGCCATCTTAGCTTTGGCGGTACCCATGCATTCCTGCTAGCTGACGGCACACCCACACACACACACACAGAAATAGACACACATGCTTGCAAAGCACACTCACTCTCAAACACAGCCTCAGTGGTCTTAAAGATAAAAAGACCTACGGAGGACGTGCGACGCTGATGGGGTAAAGGGACGCTTGTTTACAATCCTGTGAGTATCCTGTCGCCTACGCTAATAGGCCGTTAGAGTTCGACAGCTGATCACAAATATCAGACGCACTCGTAAAGCGAAAGGAAGTGTGCAAAGGGCAACACAAAGAGAGTCCTCCAAGGTAAACGAGGCGATGTTTGGAGGAAGCCTGAGGCCTTTCTCATCGCTGCAGCGCTCATCCCGACAAACCCTCAGCAAACAGCCAAAACCTCTGAAACCCGCGTGCCTCAGAAAAATCTCTTGCCCTGTGTGACAGCTTCCAAGCCAAAATTCACTGCCTTGTTGTCATGACAACGTGGATGGCACACCACAGTCCCTAATGATGAGTGGTTGTTGAAGCCTGTGTGTGCATATGTGTCGCTGTTTGGCCTGGCAATTAGTTCGAATGAAGATAATAATATAGCTTCCTGGCATGCGCTCAATGTGTTGTTTTGTTTAAGTATCTCTTGGCACAACGCAGAGCGGTGGCCGCACAGCCACTCTGTCACACGCCTGCTTTACTGTATCAGGAGTTCTTCTGTTTAACTCTCCAGGCTCGGCTTTGAGAACTTTCCTGTTTCTCTTGTTAAATCACAGCGACGTATACACCGAATTTCAAATGTAAATGAAGTGATTGCAACTACAATACAAGTTCTCAAACTTTAAACAGATTTTGAGGGTTTCCAGCAAATGAAGGGTGGCTTTCTATCCTTAAAACTTGTGCAATGTTTAACAACAGTTAGCAAATGAACCAAGGTTATCCTATCACTGTGCTTCATTTGCACCAGGAGGTTTCTTCCTGTCAAAAGGGAGTTTTTCCTTCCCACTGTCACCAAGTGCTTGCTCATAGGGGGTCATGTGATTATTAGGGTTTCTAACATTGTACGATCCATACAATGTTAAGCACCTCGAACTGACTGTTTTTTGTGAATTGGCGCTACATAAATAAAAGAATTATAATAAAAGGAATTGTATTCAAGGCTGAAAGTTGGAAAATGAAGAAAAATGTTTTTTGACAGACTCTTTAAGACCACGTGCCCACATCGGAGAGAAAAATAACTGTCAATTCTCTCTGCTAGCAAAAAGCTGCAAAGTGACTGATAGCACATGTGGTTGGACGCCCTACCAACAGACTAAGGAACCCATAACCAAGGATGTTTTCACAACTTTACTGTTTAGCCCATTTGAGCTGACCCCTGTTTTTTTCCTCCCTTGGTGCAGGTTGTTTCTGCCAACATGAACGTAGTCATCGTACTCTGATTCGGACCAAAGCAAACGCCCTTTGGAGGAGGTGCAAACCTCAGAGCTTTTAATAATCAAATTAATCTGACCCAACGACCAGCTGTGCGCTGCAAGTTTGAGCTAAATGCCATCCCATAGTCAGGCATGCTTTGCATTCTCTGACATAATAAACACAGACATGTAGAGTGCCTACCGTAGTATCTGTTGTTCCTGAAATATCTCATACCTAAGCAGGCGGGACGTCCTCAGCTGGTTTATTGTAACGCACTTTTGCACTACTGGAGTTTGCTTGAAAGCTACAACTTTGCTAAGTCATTAACTGTTTCGGGTCACAGTAAACAAAGTATGGATAAGACAAAAAATGTCTTTAGAGTTTAATTAACTTCTGAACAAAAGAAATGAGCACTTTAGGAGACGTGAGCAAGATGAACTACAGGAAAACACTGACAGATGTAGCATTCGCGCTGTCACTAATAAATCAAATATGAGTTTTGTGCTACTATATTTCTATAAGCCAAAGGCAGTGTTACACTGGAATGTGGATCATTCAGGAGGATTTGGATAACATACAGCAGCTTTTAGCACATGGCTAATATTATCTAACAGCTAAGTAGATACAGCCAAAAGAAACTTTTTAAAAGTGTAATTTTTTAGTCAGCCAGAGGATTTTAGCAGCGTTTCGGCCTCCAGTTACATAACGCGGGAAATAAAGATCTAAAAATAATGTATGAATATATATTTTATGGCAGGTTTGCTAACATTTCTTATGTTTACGGTACACACAGAGATACTAGCAGGTTAATATCCTGAATCTAGTGGCATTCTTGATTTTTGTGTAAAGCAGCTATAAAAAACAATCCCACTCTGTAAGACGTTATGGAAAAAAACGTTCATGTTTCACTAAGTTTTGGTTCAATTTGATTTTTGCCTAATTTCCCGTTTGTGTATTTGCATAATTATGTGTCATTCCCATGCTCTGCTTAGTTCAATAAAGCAAAAATGTCTTTGTCTGATATTAATTTAACGCACGAACGCACTTCACAATATGTATGTGCTCGTATGTTTTATGTGCTTTCATTCTTACACGTGCACGTGTATGGATGGAGTGTAATCCGTGGCACGGTGACAAGCATGCATCTATATTTACATACATTGTGCCCAAAGGTGCCTCTACAGGAGTACAGTAAGGAGGGGGTGTGATGCCCTTAAAGAAAGAAGACGCTCTACGCTCCTGGTAAACAATAGCAGTTGTGTATTATTATACTGTCATATAAGACCACCGTGCAGGGAGAAATCACTGCCAGCAGGCCTCCCATCCCCACTGCAACATTTGTGTGCGCCCACACCTATGACACGCAGAGGAGCACATGTGACCGCTTTTATTAACGTGTTGGTTCAAGTGCTCGGATGTGCACACTCCAAACATGGATGCACATGCCTCCAAAGCACAAACATGCTCATACACACACAAAAACACAACATTCAAACACAGATGAATCACCCTTATCTCCTGCACACAGTCGCCCCAAGGCCCCCTGCACACACCCCGCTAGAGATAACACACACACACAGGCCATCTAATACACCATGCTATCGCTCTAATCGCCAACATGCACACACACATTTCACTTTGTTTCCTGCTCAACATACAGTACGATTATTGCTAATGTACTCCAGTAGAGTCTATGTAAAAGTTAACACTGGCTATACATTTGTCACACTGCAGACGCAGACTAACTCACACCCAGGCTAATGTACACACACTCAGAAACCACACTTGCACAATCGCTCCATTCATCATACACGTAAAAACAAAACGACACCACGCACGGATACACAATTACGCAATCTGGAATCATTAAGTGACACTTGAATGTAAAATCACATAGACGTGCTCCCCCTCTTAGTGCGCAGGCAGCCACTGCCAGCGCTAATGGACTCATTTACGACGTGCATATTCATATACGAGCGCACGCTGCACACTTTTTGCTAATTTACAGAACGGCTTAGAGTGTTTGTTTGTGCATCACAAGCACACGTGAGCAAACAGGCCCTCTGTAATCTAATGTGCACTAAGTGAGGGGGATTTTGCAGACTGATGAGAGACTATAAAGCTACCATCACCAGTCCAGCACTAGAGATAAAATATAACGTCCTTTGGATGTTAAACTCGAAGGCGATTGCAAATATTTCCATAAGCAAGTTATTGTAATAGTCAGTATTATCATCCTG